TCTGGAATGTTTCTATTCAAATTCAGATTGTTTATCTATTTTATTAAATTATATGAATACATCATACAATACTGTAGATACGGAAATACCTTGGTTTAGTCCGGAATCTCTTAAATATGACCCATTGTCTAATCATTTCCTTTCAAATACTTCATTATCAGATATTACAAAAGAAATGATGATTGAACAATGGAATTATCAAGCTTCGTTTAATCTATATTACAAAACATGTGCACCAAATTATTGTACTTATTCTTATACAGCTCGAACATATAATTATATTGGGGTAATTACTAAAATAATTTCAACTATTGGTGGTCTTATTGTTGCCTTACGATTTATTACACCTCATATGGTCAATTTTATTTATCAATTTTTCCAAACAAAAATCAAAACTTCACAACAGAGTAAATTCTTTACACGAATGAAAGTATTATTGAAAAATTTATTGAAATTACTTTATACTGAACTTATCAATCTGACAATATTTCCATCATATAGTTTTGGACATATTAATAATCGAACAAAAGCAAAATGTTTGAATCGATTGGCTAGTCGTGTCTACGTTATATTACTTATTATTGGAGTTGTCATTCTTAGCCTTGAAACTCTTGTACAACCTGAAATTTTAACAAAGACTTATACTAAACCATCCCTTGAAACTTATGAATATCTTCTACAAAATCATGGTGATACAGTTCATTGTCCTTGTTCAATAACATCATCAACATATAGTAAATACATCAAAATTGAACCTATCTTTCATCAAGTATGTTCAAGTCAATTCATCTCAAATGAATGGCGAATAACTATTACGACTGGTCTTCTTTCTAATCTATCCAATTATGATCGAAGAGATTATCGTCGTTTTCTATCAGCTCATTTACAATATCTTGCTGGATTATGTGATCTTTCTAATCAATCAGTTAATGCTTTCATTCAACAATTTCTTTCTTCATTATTTGTTACTACTGAACTTCTACCGAAATCAATTTTAAATACACAAATGGAAGCACTTATTGAAGAAAATAAATCAAATGCTCCTGTAATACTTCTTCGCTTTCTCTCTTTACATAGAGATATTAATCATGGTAATGCTATCATATCAACTTATGGAACAAATTACGAATATCTCTTACCTGAAAGATCTGACAATATAATTTCTGATTATGTGATGCAAACTCAAGGAATTGTTTATGATAATAATTGTTCATGTGCATTAAATG